CTTGAAGTTATTAAAAGTCATTGAATCTCAAAGAGAATTACTCCAAAATGATCCGTATATGTAGCATAGGGAGGGTGAGTGTAGACGTACAGCACTTAGGCCACATGCGACCATTGTACATCCCTTCAAGGAGTGGTCCTCATAGGTCATCGTCCATCCTTCCTTTCCAGGAAGGTGGACACATCCTGTATAGAAGTATGTCCACTAGCCCCATAATATGGAGTTGACAGTGGCCAGTTTGAAATCCTACTGTAAAGCGTAGGTTATTCCTGGGCATCGCCAGATATTTCTTCGGCGCAAGCTTCCCAGGGTCGTCCAGGGTGATCCTGGCAAGACTCCATCCTTTGATTCTATCCCACCTCTTTAGGAATTGAGCATGGGTGTGACATTTGGCTAGTTCCGCAATTGTCGAAGTCATCAGGCCGTATGTGTCACTGGGTCCTAAAATTCTTACTCCAGCCGCTTCCTTGGCTGAAGAGTCGGCAATGCGATTACCTTTACTCCTGTCGTGCCCTTTAATCCACCTCAGCATACTGAGCATACTGGCTAAATCTTGGTGGCACTCTAGTACTAGCCCTGAGGTAACGTTGTGTGTTCAAGGCTAATAGGGTTTGTCTACTATTAGTGCAGAGTATTGTTTTGTTTTGTTATGTTCCTGGTCATTTCTACTCCAAAAGGATATTAACTGTTTAGCTTCTTGGTGTGAAACAAATAAATTACCCATTACACTTACTCAATAAAACAAATTATTTTGGATCGGTGTGATGTAACAAATGATCTTTGCATTCATTTTGACTCCAAACACAGCTTTTCATGCCACATAATCAAAACCGCATCTGCAGCGAAAAAAATGCTTGGCTTGATTTTCAGAAACTGTAGACTTCAAAAATGAAGATAGCTTCATTGCTCCCTTTACCTCATATGTGAGAACGCGTTTAGAATATTGAATCACATTTATCTACTCGAGTCAATTAAATAAAAACCCGAAAGTATATTGTATACAGAACTGATAGGGAACAAGGTTTGGATAATAACTTATTATTACAGATTTTCGTTGTTACCTTAGGAGGACCGTAGAACCTACAACTCTTGCATTTTTGTATATAAATTCAGAAACTACCTGACCTGTCCAGGGTTAGTATCTCAAATGAACTTCAACAATCAACATACCATTTTTGAACAATAGAAGCTCACTCTGTTTTCATTTGCCTACTCCAAGAACGAATATGCTATTGAAATCTTCAATTCGTTCGATATGCAAAATATTCTATCGGATATGCGAAAAAACTGATATATTTTCAACACTCATTTGAGTATTCAAAAGGAAAATAAAACATATTTACATGTTTATGAAAAATTATTATGTTTTCATTTCTATGGTTGTTTTTTTTTTGTTATTATGATTTAACACTTACTACCAATTATTGAATTATTTAATTTAGTTCTTGTTCACAGTAATTTTGTAATTTTAGATGAGTATTATTAAGAAAATATATTCAAAAAGATCGAATCACAACTATATAATTTATATTCATGAACAAAATAATATCCAAAACATCAATGCCAAATTCATCAAACGCAAGACCTTCTTAATCTTTAACTCATACGTGCTTTTACTTTTGAGGATTGTCGTTGATTGATGGAAATAACATCTGAGGATTACTGTGTAATGTCATGAAGCCGTTATATCTCCCAAAAAAAAATCGAGTAATTTTGTTTCGGTCATTCTGCACCATTCTCAGCAACTTGTATAATATAGCAGTAACTTTTTTTTCTCAAGATTATCTGAAAAATGAATAGCCATGAACACGATTTCTTAGGTTGTTATGAATCTTTGTTATCGTGAACGGAACAACTCTGATTCATGGTATTACTAGGAATGTGACGATAATTGTAGTTTCACTTTTTATCAGGATTTGTGCAGATACGATGATTTTTCCTTTATCATTATTATCGCATGATAAGAGTTGTGCTGTTTGTGTATCTCAGATTATTTGAGGAAGTTCCTAAAAGCCTACTAGTTATCAAGATAATCAATCGAGTTGAAATGTTCAGATCTCGTCATATCCGCAATAAAAAATACGTGTCCGCGCAAAAACCGTTTTAGAAATGATTTAGGTTAAAATATAGTATTTAATCATAAAGACATGTAAAGATTGTAAAGATATGAATACACAAATGTTTCTGTCAAATACAAACAGGGGGAAAAATATTTTCAAACAACTACTTTCACGTGAATATTAAATTACACGAAAATTGATTGTTTCCAATACAGTTGTTACTGTAAACATTCGTTATGGTATTAATCATGAAATACATTGAGTAGCTTTCCCATGAATCGGACTTCCATTGTCTACTATATAAAATGATTTGAAATCCCTGAAACAACTAAAAAAGAAGAATTGAAAATGAATAGCTGAAAATAACAATTATGTTAATCAAAATAAACCCGAAATGAAAAAATAGTGAAATAAAATACAAGTAAAAATAAAACAATTGAATAAATAAAAATGAAGAAGTGAAAAAAGAAAATAAAAATAAAAAGTTGAGAGATTCCAAGTCACGTTAGTTCTTCTTTTTTAGTTGTTTCAGGGATTTCAAATCATTTTATATAGTAGACAATGGAAGTCCGAACTAGTGAAATACATCTTATTCATGGTAACGAGAGAGTTTTGATAAAAAATTACACTCACATGACATGACATGACACCATCCTCAATGGTGTACTTCGAAATTTCGGGACAAGACAATTGGCTCATCACCTCATCAGCTTTTTTTTAATAACACTTTGCTAGAAAAGATTGTTCTTTTGGAAAAAAAGCTTTTTTGATTTCTACTTCTCCATCATTGAACAAAAAACTGTGGGAAACTTCCAAGTGAACGGCTACGGAGGCTCATTAAGATATGCAGCAGTAGGTTGCATATCTTAATGAGGATCTAGAAGTGATGGGGTGAAAGTAACCAAGTTCAATTCAATGCCACAAAAACCCAGGAATCGGTTTTCTCCAAGAAGATAAATGTCTCCGAACCGGATATAATAATGTCAGGTCAGACAATTCCGCTTTCTGCTTCGATACGTTTTTTGGAGGTTAAAATGGACACCAATATGGCTTGGCACAATCATGTCGCTGGAATTGCAAAGGTTGCTTCTCAAAAGCTTGGAACACGGTTCCGAACCAGAAAACTGTACACACCACAGCAAATTTTGATGCTTTATAAAGCCCAGATCAGACCTTCTTTTGGGGTATTGTTTTCATGTATGGAGCTCTGCCTCAAAACAAACCCTGAAGTTGCAGGATTCCATCCAGAAAACCACCATCCGCCTGATTGGAGACCCGAACATCACCTGAAACCTTGATAGCCTGGAACATCGAAAAAAGGTTGGAGATTTGTCTCTCTTCTATAGATACTTTCAGGGAAAGTATTCAAGTGACTTGGCACATTTGATTCCACCAAGAGCGGCACATATCAGAAATACGCGACGGGCTGTGGCTGCTCATCATTTTGAGGTTCAACTGAGTACATCTCGAACTTAACTGTTGAAGAACTCTTTCATCTAGAGAACTGCGTTTATGTGGAATACACTTCCTGTGAGCGTTTTTCCAAACAGATTCAATATCTAGCGATTCAAATCCAATGTGAATCGCTACTTTCGCACAGACACCGCTCTGAGAGCCCCTTAAGGATTTTCCTCTAGTGCTTGTGTTTTGTCGTTGAAAAATATTCTACACACTCGCATGAGAAATTATATGTTCTTGGTTTTAAACTTGAAATTGATTGCGTTTCGATCGATTCAATAATGTCTTCAAATGTTTTCTGGCTTTGGACCTCAGCAAGGAAATAGTGTTTTAATGTAAATAGATTCATATGCTATTTTGCGCTCTCAATATACATAGTTAGATTTACAGGGTGTTCCTTAAACACATGCTAATATTTAAGGAGGTAATTCTTAGACCCATTTTAAGGAAAAAACGTCCTATGGACGTATGTCCTAAACGCCTTAACTTTTGAGATACAGGGTGGCAAAGTTTTCAAAAATAATCAGTTTTTTAATAATAACTGAGATAATTTTGTAGACATCTTTGGCATATTTGGTACATATGTTCCATGCCTCAAGGC